ATTCACAGAAATAAAAAACAGGGAAGAAGGAAAACGCCGTCACTTGAGGCAGCCCTGCACATGTAGAGAACACTTTCTGACACATCAGCCTCTGATAAACCTGCTCTGCAGTACCAAAGGCTGGAAAAAAGGAACCCAAAGGAGCTTCACCACAGCTCTTGGTTCTGCTGACCATCTCACCAAGAACACACTTACCTGAACCAAGGGAACTTTCCTTTTTCAAGGAGTCTTAACAGCTTTGAGTAGGAAAGGATCCTCTGTTAGCAAGTATCTGAATTTTCACAAAATACACAAAGAAGTAGCTGATATTATACTTTTCTGTATAAWGTTATATACCAATAATTATCACACACCAATACTTAGAATAGGATTTTTGCATCTTTTTAACAGTATCAGTGAAGCTAAGCCAATAACTTTCATCTGACAGTGGATYTGAAGCAGCTCCTAGATTTGCCCATATACTGCAGATATGATCTTACTAATGAACTGTCTTTGTAATGCATTACTTTTTCCGTTAATTGAGAGTTTTAACCGTTACTGCTGAGAGCTGAATTTTCAGGTTTCAAGTTAAGCAGTTTCAAGTTAAGGCCCTGAATACTCCCTACAGATAATCCTGCATATGCAGCCTAATAAGAGTTTCACCCAACTCTTCCTTCATGTCACTTGGAGTCTCTCCTGAATTATTAGTTCAAGTCAGTTAACAATAATTATGAAGAGCAATCACATTCACAGACTGGTTGCATGCAGAAAAGAAAAAAAAACCTTCTTTTTGAAAAGATCATGCAGAAATCCTGTGTGGAAAAATGAAATGGAGGTGTAAGATAACTGACAGTATACAAAAATTCTGCTTTAATTAAAAAGTTATTCTTAAGTTTCCCTCTCACATGGTTATTTTCTATTTCTTGAGCACTCCCCATTTGTACAATGCTGTGGAAAGCTCTTTTTCTCCATTGCTCTTTGGCACAGCTCTTGAGTTTAACGCTATTTTCCTCATTTTTACTGACAATCCGACCATCTCTAGCATTTGGATTTTGTAGCTGTGTGTACAAACTCTGCCTGGTAACAGAAAGCTTTGCAGTTGGACAGGAAACCTCTTGAGAAGGAAAATATTGAAGCCATCATCACAGAACAATATATTCTTGAATGTTCTATGAGACAGGTTCCACAACCCAAATCTCTGCTTGCATAACATGAAGTGACGCTTCCATAATGCTAATGAACCACAGTAAATTGTCACACAATGGCTTTTTCTTCTAGAAGGCTACCTATCAGCTCAACTCTTGCTGTGGTCAGTCACCATTTCCATTGTAAGTTCCACGTTTTTGTACTTATAAAATCTGGCAATAAAACACTGTGCCAAGATTAAACTTGGCACACAAGTTCTGTCCAGAAGTAACCTCAATTCATCTTTTTCAGCTAGCAAACTAACTTGACTTAGTTATATTTAAACAAGGTGTTCTGGTTTTCATCACTTTCTTGCAGTCACATGTTCAGAGGTTCAGCCCCCCATTAACTACTTGGTTAAACCAGTTTGCAAGAAACCTTCTGAACACGAGGGTCCCATAGGCTCAGTGCCATAAGCAGGACCTTGGATGCTGCTCTGTGACTGGTCTCAGCYATAGGCAGCAAGTCTGAAGGCAGGCAGGAGAGCTGGGTTACTGTGAGTCATGTTGCCTGGAGCACAGAGCTGGATTTAAACTTCAGGGTTTTTCATTTACACCACTGGAGACACTGGCCTCACATCCTTGAATTAGATACACCATGGAACCATATAGAGGTACCTGTATTCCTCACTAGTCCTTCATGAACTGCTTGTAAAAAATTGTATCAGCAGAAATCCATCTGATAAATTGTTCTGGATATTTTAATTAAAGGAGAGTAGATGAGAGTTTACTAAATACTTAGYCATACGCTGAAGAGTAATTGTAACTGAGGTCTTCTGCAGAAGCTGTGCTTTATTTTTTTAACTTGATCTTTTTCAATTAATTCTTTCCTAGCTCTGTCTACCCTTTCTCCTTTCGAGGTTTGTTGCTTGCAGCTGCTTAGAGCTCTCACTGGCACTAGGATTCAACTCTGTGTTATTCAGCTGCTGCACAACTCCCACCCTCTGAACCTGCATCAGGAACTCCACATCCACTCAGCGCATCCTCAGAGCAAAGAGGTCTTTACTAACCGACCTACTGTGGGATCTGATCTTCAACCATATTTAAAGTGATCTGTTTTTCCCTCTGGAGATTTCCAAGAACAAAGGAAAATAATTTATTACTCTGAATATGTGCCCCATTCTGATTAATCRTTCCCATGACGCACATGAAGTCTTCTTGGGAACATCATTTGCTGCGATTGTCAATTCTCAGCTGCTGTCTTTTCTGGAGTATTTTGAGCCACACTTATACTTCACAGTTCAGCCTTCCCATTGCTACAATGTGTTAGCAATTATGTAGAATAAACAAGTAGACAATTGTACTATATCCAGGGAATAAAATCTACAAGGATATAAAACAAATTAGGAACCAACAACTCTTCCCCAGAAGAATATCCAGAAAGTTAAAAATAGAGCATGCAATTAACTCCCAAAACACATCATTTATTTTAAGCCCTAATTCAAGAGTCACTCCAACTTGGCACACGCTTTTACAGTTCTCCAAGTCCCATCCTCTCATTACTCTTCATTTCCCCCTCCTCTCTTGTGCGAGAGTTCATGCAACTCCACATCCAAGCAGGCCAGGAAGGTGCCTCTACTAAACCCCAAGCTTTCCCTTTTTGCTTAGGTCAGTTTTCAGCTGGTTCAGCACCCTTCACGTGACTCACCGTAGTACCACACCAATGCCAAAGGAGAAGAGGGTGAGCTGAGGTGAGGATTGCATAAGCTGGTGCAACTGCCAAAGAAACTCTCATGCAAYCACAGCCCAGTCTTATTCCTGGGGGCAGCAATGCAAGAGGAAACCTRCTTTCTTCCCTAGCTTGTTCCCTGACAGTTCCCTCTGGCAATGGCAGCGTCACAAGACCTCAGGGTCTGGAGCAGCTTCTCTGCCCAGTGGGTTTRCTTGAAGGTGCTGGGAAAATCCCAGTAAAGCAACGATAACAATGAGTATTTATAACATCCTAACACAAATATAGTCAAAGGCCCCTGCTCTGATGTGATACAGGGCATGTGTTGTTTCTTCTTTGTCAAGATGCTGTCATTGCTGCCCTAATTCAAGGTTGCAGGGTTGAGAAAATGGATCCTGAGAAAACGAGGAAGAGAAGACAACTAGAAGTTGTAATATTTTATGACRCTTTCACCGGAAAGTTCCTCTTTCTAAGGAGCCCCAGTGCTCGACAGCTGGAGGTCACTAAGAGGGTTTCCTGCTACTGTTAGGAGTGATCATCAACCTTATGTGTTTCTGCTTGCTTAAAATGGTTGTAGTTCTGCCTGCTCTGCAACCCTTGAAAAGCATCTTTCTCTATCCAGCCTATGCATGATAAGGAGTAGACTTAAGCAAGCAAGCAAACCTGACTCTACACTGGCTCATGCTTTCCTTACCCTGGGAAAATTTTCAGCTGTCCATACATAGCAGATTTAAAAGCTTTCTGTCAGCCTGGCAACTCCAAAGGATTCAGGCAGGAGAAAGATTTCATCCTACCAATGTTATTATTTCAACTTCTCTTTCCACTAGCTAATGACAAATTCAGTGTAAAAGCACATAGTTAAGCCTGAAAGAAATCCAGGAAGAGCAGGAAATTATCTTAATTTGTCTAGTTTTGCTCTGCTTGAGCAAGAGTTTACTCTTAAATTTACTACCTGAGCATTAAATCAGGTTGGTTCACTGATGCTCTGCAGTCATGGCTTCTTAAAGGAAGATGGCAGGTGAACGAACCACCACTGTTTTTGTTCAGTTTGGCATATACATTTTCAAGTGACATGAAACTCGGCTGTTTTGCTCTGCACAGGTTCTCGTAACTGCACACTTGGTTTTGCTTCATCTGGATTTTCACCACAGAATTTTGCTTTGACTGTCCCAATCTGAATAGAGGAAAGCTCTGCCAAAACCACATCACATTCAAACCACAGGAAACCATGAATTTGGCACTGTTTTGATATGGAAGCTGTAAACAGTGTGCAGGTTCACTCAGAACTGAACTAACTCTCATTTGAGCTATGAAAAGTAACAAAACTTCCAACTGAAGAGGTCAAAATTGAGTTACTAAAGAAAAAAACTGTGACTTTTGCATGGTAGAGGATTTTGTTATATATATTTTCCCCTATTTTATTTTTCCTTWAATTATAATCACACTGTGGAAGAATAAAATGAGAAATTTTCTCCTTTCCAAGTAAGAGTTCAAAGAGGATTTGGGTAATTCTCACAGCTCTAACATATATTCTATTAAAGACAGGGTGGTTTCCCATTGGCATTCTTGAGCTTGGATAAATGTAAAAACCACAGTTATATGAAGATGTAACTAAGTTTTAGTTTTATGTTTCAAATGAAACATAAAGCAATTGCAAATGATTTACACCCCTGCTCAGGAGAAAAATCTATTGTTTAAAACCCACATTAGACTTTCAGCTGCCAAAACAATCTTTTTTCTTTTTATAAAAATGAAAAAAAAAAAAAGCCTGAAACATTTTGTTTGCCTTCAAAACAAACACTGTTATAAAGAAACATGTATTTGCTAAGAAGTCGCAAGTTTGCTAAGGATCAAAAGAAACAATTCCTTTTTCTAGACCAATCCTGAAAACAATCCCCATTCCAAATCCAGCCAAATCAGAAGTCTGAAGGTGGGGCTATGCTTGGGTGCTTTACACACCAGCTGAAGTATTAACTGGCTGTAGTAGTGACTGACAGAACACAGTTATGCAAAAATGAGTCCCATATTATTGCACTGCCTGCAAAAAAAAAGACAATCTGATCTTGCTGACCTTTGCTTTTACCAGATTCTTGAAACAGACATTTTGGATGTCAGATGAACTCAGGAGGGATCCATAAATACAAAGAACCATGTATCAGATATCTGACCTGTCATCGAGTTTTCAGACGTGCATAGCTGCTCCCGCAGCTTCTCCACATCATCTGGATGAACCTGCTCGTAGAGGGTGCTGCCAAACCACTCGGACTGGGGCTGGTTGAGCACAGGAGTCACAGAATCCGATACATAGATCACTCTTCCCGTTTCAGCTGCAACTACAAACAGGAACCCATCTGCAGCCTCCAGGATAAGATGTTTCAGTTCCTTCCAAAGAAAGCACTTGATTAGAATGTCAGCAAGGTAAGGGAATAAAATAACACATTTGTCACCCCCACCACAGTAGCACTTGGTTGTGATTTTAGTAGCTGATCACAACGTAGGCAGACTTTTTCCAGGCAGTATTCAGGTAACTACACATCCAATCTTGCAGCAAGACATAAACTGCCAATCCCAATAACAAACACCACTTTGTTTTCCTTTATTATCTTTCATCTGACAATCTTGATTCATTTTAGGAAAATGAAGTAATTAAAATTCATGGCATATTGTGTGATGGTTATCTAATATATACAAAAAAAAGTAACCTAAGAGTACAAACGAAGGAAATAAAAAGCAATAAATCATATGACAAATCCACCCCTTAAACTTTCTGGATAATTTCACCGGGAAGAACCCAACTAGCTTTTCTTTTTATCCCCAACCCTGGGCTCACTCTGTCTGCAGATGAAACAATCATTGGGTAGAAGAAAGAAACTAATGGGAATGAGGACAGGAATCCCCAGTCTACTCTCCCATCAGAGGACTTAGGTCACTAAACAGGGAAGTTGTATCATCTCTTGCTTTCCTTTTCCAGTCTGTCAATATGAAGATTCAGAGACAGAATTTGAAATATCCCTTTCTTCAGCATTTTTTCCTGGTGTTCTCTCCAATGAATAGTGGAAGATAAAAAAGCCACTTCTGTTCTGCAAGGTTCAAAAAGTAAGACGCAATGAGAAGCGAGTAGGGTGCCCTACAGAAAGTGGGCTGAGTGACAGCATCCCTGCAGAAGCATGGACGTGAACACAGGTTAGGTGAACAGAGGGGTCAGCAGCAGCAGCTGCTGTTTGTCTGTTTGAAAGAAGTTGTTCCTCTAGCCATAACTTACATGTGTAAGTACTTAAATTGTTCCAGCCACAAAAATGCACATTACACCCACAGGACTTCAAAAACTATGAAGGTGGTAGGAATTTGCAGTGTGCTCAGTTGAACTTAGTCTTCCTTCAAGCACTGGGTGCATCTTTCTCCTTCCACCAAAAATGCTGGCCGAGAATTATCTCGGCCAGTGCAGATACAATTCATGTCACCTCAGTTCAGCTGTCTAGACCTTTGACACTGAGAATAAACATGTCTTTTACTCTTCCTCTAAAAACTCAGGAGGAATCATAGAATCATAGAATGCCGAAGGTTGGAAGGGACCTCAGAGGTCATCTAGTCCAACCCCCCTGCTCACACAGGGTCACCTAGAGCACGTGGCACAGGGCTGCATCCAAGTGGGTTTTAAAGATCTCCAAAGGAGGAGACTCCACAACCTCTCTGGGCAGCCTGTTCCAGTGCTTTGTCACCCGCACAGTGAAGAAATGCTTCCTTAAGTTCCTGTGGAACTTCCGATGCTTCAGTTTGAAGCCATTTCCTCTAGTCCTATCCCTGCCCACCACTGAAAAGAGGCCGCCCCCCTCCTCCTCACTGCCTTCCTTGAGGTATTTATACACGCTGAAAAGAAGAAGGAAGGAAGAAGGAAGATACAGGGTTTTAGAGATTCTTTTCTTCTATTTTACAGAATCTATGTTAGAATGGAAATAACCATTTTCTGGAGGTGATTATCCCTCTACAAGAGACAGCAAGTGACTTCTTTTCAGATGGACAGATTTCAGTGATAAGAATCCCCTACTCAGAACAAAAGTGTCCAGTTAGCTGCTTGAGGGAGGAATTTGTCACACGATTAAGATCAACTACAAACAATCAGAATAAAAACAGACAAAAACAGTCTGTATTCATAACTTGAATATTTAGTTCACACCAGTTACAACACAAAGCAATAAAAACAGTCCAGGATCAAACAGACTCTACTCCTCTCAGCATTTTCTCAAATCGCTCAGGTCTACAAACCAGAGAAAACTGACATTTGTAAAGAAATTTACCTGCTCTGTAAGAAATGAAGGTTTATAAGCTCCATCAGTAGATTTGTTTCCAGTACCCCTCATTGACTTCATGTGTGAAACGGCCATCCGGAGAATTGTCAGCTTGTCAGGTTTACGAGCCAACGCACTGCAAGTGGGTACCATATCCGACAGCTCCGTGATGTACTGTGTCATCTTGTTTCTCCTGCGTCTTTCAATTTCACTGTGATTCTCCCTAAATATTCAGAGAAACACCAAGCCAACAAAAAAGCAGACATGATCAGTGTAAGAATTTCCATGTAATAAATCTTCATACTTCACACTTGTTTTGCATTTTAACCCCAGGAGAGAAAAGTATTTACAAACATTAAGCACTACTATTTTTATCCCTCACTCTGTAGGCTAGGAATCTAGTACATAAAAGGAAAAATATGATTTACTCTTAGCTGTGAAGGTAACTCCTATTTCTAGTGTATTGTTTCTGGTCTTAAACCCTGAGGCAGTGAAGTTACCTTTGGTTTAGGGTCAGAAAATGGAAGAGACATAAAGGTGCTGACACCTGCCAACTCCAGTCCAAGACCCAAATTTGCAAAAAATGTGACACAGCTCCCAGGACTTTCTCTAGGTGTTGGCAACAACCAACTCTCATTCCTACATCTCCAGTCCTGTAACACTGAGTGGCAAGTGCTGTATCCCTGTGCAACCCTATATGCCTACGGGATCAGATTACAGTATTGGGAGCACATATGATGTAACAGTAAACACACAAGAAAACCCCACTAAATAAAATGAATACAAAGACATGAAGCAAACACCTGGCTTGTCAGAAACAGATCAGGTATTTTATGTAAGAGAACAATCTAACACAGCAGGGAAACAACCATTACAGTGCTTGATGCTGCCCTATTTCAGGCTGAGCTCCAATATTCTCATCCTTTATAGCAAACATTTCACTGAATTAGTGAGTCAAATTTGAGAGTTCTCAAAACTGACAGTCACCAAATACGTTTTATAACCAAGAGTCTGGGATTTCAGTTTTCCCTTAGGGTAAATCATATTAAGCATTCCAGTATGGCACACCACTATACACAAGAGAGATGGCCCAATTGGACCCCAGAAAACTGAAGTTCCTAGCGCATATTTTCCACATACCATACCTGTCAGGTGGCAGCTAAATACAAACACCGAACAGGTACATGAGGCCTCAGCTGTCAAAGGAGCATCTTCCACTGATTTCAATGAGCTGTGCATGGCATTTTCTTGTGGGATCGCTGGCTGATCCAACAAGATGTGCAAAGCTGAACACATGGAGAGTCCACTAGCATTGACTGACATGATATACACAACATTAAAAGGAACTGCAGCTTTCTGTGCAGCTGAATGATATGTAGTGATCACAAAAGCAAAAGCAAGGATTGACACACTTTTCAGTTATTTTAAAGGCTCACTGAGGCCTTTGCTTAAAGCATAAGGAAGGCTTCAGGTTGTAGCATGTTATTTTATGAACTACAGAAAGCACTGGCTTACCCGCTTCAGAATGTGTATCCTGTCCCCTGCACATGGAGGTGTTGCCTGCATGAGGCAATATTTCTACTATTTCTTTCATGTCTACATGCACAATTATTATTCCTACTGATATATACACCTACTTCATAAGTACCAATACTCAGAAAATCCAGCTGCAGTTTTCTGCAATAAATTAGGTGCAGTGCCATGGCTCAAGGCACCATCTACTGAAGTTTTTCATCAAATCATAACAGTGAATACTTGCATCTCAAGTAGCTGATCACCAGCTGAACACACAGCTCGCGTGTGGTTCTGCACAGCTGGCCAGAGGACAAGGTCTGCAGGACTTGGATCACACATACAAACACAAGCAGAAGAACCTCTGTAACGATGCACATGCACTAAGAACACTTGTGCCTAATGACTGGCATATACATGTATATAAATAAAGACAAAGGGAATTAACATATTTTTTACATGACAAAAGCTTGTTCCAAGTTTGGCATTTTCACAAAAATGGTGAACAAGAGACAAGGGGGTGAAAGAAAGATACAAAGAACATACATATACAACATATTTTACATGTATAAATATTACATTGCTACTAAAACATCTTGGTACATCCGATCATGAAGCAGAATCATAAAAAAGTAAATATAGAGAGCGAAACTTCCCGAGGGAAAAAAAAAAGAATATCTAATAGTCCATTTCATTTATGATCATAAAGGCTAACAAAGAATTCTATGTTTATCACTTGACAATGAAAAGATTCATCCAAATAGAAACCTCACTATCCTGAAACTAGATCAAGTTTGAACTCTGTAGAGACAGAGGGAATGTGCTCCTCTTTCATGCCTGTCGTAGGACTCTTGTCATTCATAAACTTATGACAGAATTTTGTCCTAACTTTGTGATTTTTTTTTTTTAAATGACAATTTTGGAAGAACATTAAATTTTGAGAGACTGAGAGCTAATCCAAATTCACTCACACCCAGGGATTCAAACAGTTTTGGATCAGCCAGCCAACTTTTGGTCAGTCAGAAGAGCACCATACAAAATAAAAATGGGAACAAACCGTATTTGCCTTTCCTTTATCCTACCTGGCCATCCTTTCTGTGTCTGCAGCACTTCAATCATATTCTCACCTAGAAACAAAATAAGCGGCCCTCTAAACTAAGGTCACATACTGGGATTTTCTGGGACACGACCATCTCCCTCTTTTCTCTCAGCAGACGATCTCTACGGAACACGCCTACCTTGCAAACTTTTCCTTATCACTAGAGATTTGATCAGCATCATACCTATAAAGAAAAGAGGGCAAGTAAATTCACAAGGTTTATAYATCTCATGCATGTCAACACACAGCAGAAAGCAAAGAGATTTGCAACTGCCAACTATTACAAATGAGGACGTGAGAATGATAAAGCAAGGAAAATAGTAGTTTAATGAAAATTCCAAGCCATGCCAGTTCAAAACTTCATTTTGGTGTATTTAAAGTTCTAGGCACATTTCATTAGCTTTAGGCAACACTTTGACATACACTCACTGCTTGGGAAGCGTAACAACCAGCACCATTACAGAAAATGCAACAGAACTTTATTGACAGAAGCTCATGAAATATTTGTTGCCATGTTGAAAGTGAAAGAATTGCTTTTTTTTCCAGATTGCAACCACAAACAGTCCATTCAGTAGAGGGCACTGACGGTCTACAGATAATAGGGCAAGGACACACACACTTAAGTGCATAGTTATATAGAGACTCCTTCAGAAGAAAAAAAAAAGCTGCAATAGGTACATATCCTGTCTCATCTGTTGGAAACACTGGCAAAAGTCAATTAGGCAGATGAAACTGCTGGATAAATTGAAGTGAAATTAAAACTAGCTTAAATCCCTAGAAGTAGACAGATATTAGATGCCCAAATAGGTACTTGCAGGATATCATGAGCTACATTCTGGAACAAATCCAGATGAATGGGACTTTTGACCATGAGATTAAAGCTTCACTGTTTCTGAAGCACTGACCCAAGGGCAGGCAGCAATGTGACATTTTACTAAAATAGGAGACTCTCCTCCTCCTTTGGCTTTCATATAAACATTCTCATCCTTTGAGATTAGGTTTTATTAAATGCATGTTTACAAAAACACACATTTTTTAAAAAATACCTTGCTTTTTGAGAATTCAAAACGTTTGTTCAAAAACAGAAGGCACGGGTGAAAGAGTATATAAAAGCAGGACTAATTGCTTTTCTAGAACTGAAGCATATTACTGCTGAAGAACAGTCAAGTGAGAATTTGTATTAGAATTATGCCTTTCCAAAAAGATGTGATTTGTTTCAACAAAGATCCTGTGAACTTTCCATGTATTAACTAATAAGGCAATACAGCATAATTAAACATCTTTCCCTTCTAAAATGCTCCTAATTAACTTTTTCCTCTCAACTCAATTAAAACTAATTTTATTTAACCCAACTGTGCAGATTCCTCTCTAAGACTTTATATTTGCCTTCTTCACTGAATCCTGTTCTCTCAAGACAAAACTTGGGAGACTTAAGCTGTATCTCTTTCTACCTTGTGTTTAACATTAGTACTCTCAAAACATCCAGGGGAAGATGTTCCTTTTCCTCCCACCTGACTCTGCTCTGTGAACAAAGTGTGACCCTCCAAAAAACAGACAGCTTCAACGAGAAACGGCCACACACCATCATACGAGAAGTGCATGCACATGTCTGCGTGTGACAATGAGATTCCATGCAGAGATACCTGAGCTGGATTTGCAACTCTCTGAGAAGCCAGGTGGGTTAACTTCTGTGGAGCACCACGCTAACACCTCTACTTCTGGTGCTCATGCTAGCTGGGGAATTGCTTATCCATTCTTGCCTGGTGGGCTGGGCTGAAGATGCTGCTCCAGCTACTGACTTCTCCCTTGCCATCTTGCAGCTGACCTCTTGGTGTGCATGCTCCTTGAAGGGCTYGAGTCAAAGCAAGCTAGGCTGGCTYGAACATTTAGAAGGTCTTTGCTAACTGCCAAATTTTGACCAAGGTTAAGTTAAGAATCAGTCAAGTGATCAATTTGGAGAAGGGAAAAGCTCCAATAGGAGGGCACAGCTGGGAATAACATCTCCTGGTAGGACAACCACAGCCCAAAGAGGATGTCTGTACATGGCCCTAGGCACCTCTGTACTGTTTTTCTGTACTTTCTCTAAAAGCTGAGCAATCCGGGAGCTTTTAAGTTTAAGTGATTTTGATCTGACATCTAAAATGAACTGATTCTAAGCACAGTACAGCATGTTCCTCCCAAAAAAAAAAAAAGATAAGGGAACTATTGCCTTTCTCCTCCCCACAATCATATACTGAAAGGCTGAAGCCAGGATCAAGGCAGCTGGCTGCTTGTAACCACTGTGCCTAGAAACCCTGATGCTTATGCAGACACAATCAGGTCGCATCATTCATAAATCTTGTCCCCTTGGTATATACACATATACTTAGGATTATCAACTTTAAAACCAGAGATTGCAATTATCAACTAAACAAGGGTGCTGTTGGCATCATACAGTAGGTTATGATATGGTGTTACCAAACATCTTCAGTGTACTACCATCTTCCAGACTGACTGGAGAGATGAAATCAAAACCCTGCAGTGACAGCTGGGTTTGAACACAGCTGCTGCTGCACACTTGCAATTAGAGTTTAAGTAATCAACAATAACTTGAAGGCCTCAAAGCACCYATCTCCAATGCCATCTATTCGTTTTGGATAAAAAAAAAAAAWAAGCAAATAGTATGACCAAACAAAAAGTGAAGAATGGCAATGATACTTAAAGGTTTCTTTTCATTCATAGTCTAGAATATTACACCTTAACTAAAGTTTATTTTAGCCATTTTTATTGTGCAGTTACAACTAATGATATATAACTTTAACCTAAAATAAACAAACAAAAACCCCACAACTCTAAGATCTGTCACATTTTCTTAATAAATAAGATCTAAATTAAATTCAATATAAAGCTGATTTTCAGAGGTAAAAAGACAACTTCAGCAACAAGACATAACCTCAGTTCATTTACAGCAGTTGAAATACTGTAGGTAARAGTCATAGATTTGATATAGCAGTAAAATAAAATTATGACACACAGTCAGCTTTGTAAGACAATAACTACACTAGGCAGGATGTCTTGTTTGTAGAGGAAGATGGTAAAAATGTTAACTAGAATGTAGGTAAAACTACTGACAATTTCTTCAGCCCATATTCATACAGAATTATAAAGCAATAAATGGCCGACAGTTGTCTTTTTTCCACTGAACAAAAATTAGCAACTTGATCAACTCTTCATAAATGCTCACCTTGAAAATTTGCTGGGACCCTCTCCATCTTCATCATCGAAGTCCATTCTGTAAGAGCAGGATTTCCAAATCATTAATCATGAAGATGGCAATGATGACTTGAACCTGAACCAAGTTCTTAACCTTGTTTGATCTACGTTATTCACTGCAGATGTTAATGACCTCGGTTCCCAGCCTTGCTCACGTTCTCTAGATCCCTAAAGAGGGCTCATCAGCTGCCAGAGGTCCAAAAAAACACAAGTTTTTAAAAATATACATGTGTATCACCCTGAAATGCTAAAATTAACAACTAAACAGAAACACTGAACACATGCAGTTCTTGTGAAACAGTCAGGAGTAACATCCCTGAGTGCTTTCAGAAGTTGAGAGATCAGTGGAGATTCTACGTTAGATGACAAACTAAGACTAAAGAAAATAATAAACAAGAGGCAACTGTTACTGCCCTAGACTAATACAATAAATTAGAGGGAGAGCAGGATACATTCCCAGCCTCTCTGGGAAGAGAATTATTTACTTCAGCTCTATTTATTTAATTGCAGTACCTAATCATTTCACACAAATTAGTGACCAGTTTGCAGACAGCAATTACTATGCTATGGTAGCCAAGGGTGTCACCGAAAGGASTTACGGGTCCATCACACACCTAACTTACCTGCTCACGTCCTGATGCTGCTTCTTAAGTCAGCGGAAGAGAAAAGCTCTTCCCTGGGCCAAGTCACAGCCCTCCAGTTGGCTCCTCCAGGGAGCCACAAAAAGCAGGAACCTCTTTCTTTGCTATTACCCATATAAAATAAGGCTGAGCCCTGAGTTAGCCACCCGTAATTAGATAGCACAGTAGCACAGATTTATAGTATCCACTGGAGCAAATTCTCTCATATGAAGACAGGCTGACAGAGCTGGGATTGTTTAGCCTGGAGAAGAGAAGGCTAAGGGGAGGATATTAATTAATATTAATTAACATTAAAGAAATCCTTCCAGTTGAAAACAAAGGTTTGTTAAGAGTGTTGGAACAGTGGTGTAAAAGTGCTCCTTAAAATTAGGCAAAGAATAGACCATGTAGTATATGAATGCCAGGCAGACAACACTGCCCCACTGGCTAATTTTGATATCGAAGTCAGAAATCTATAGAAGATGTTTCCTCCTCACAGGCCTCCATGCACAATCAGTTCAGCAAATAAGCCTAGCAATCTGAGTCTGTATAAGACATCATAATATTTTCCAGATGGTAATAGTGATTATTCATTTCTGTAGGAAAGAGGGATAAAACCATTTTCCCAAAAGGGTTTTAAGAAAAGATGCGCGTTTAATTTGGTTGAGGTTGGATGCAATCATAATTTACACTATAAATTACATTTTGCTCACCTAATTATCACCAAATCCAGTTTTAAAAAYACTTCCCTTGCCAGGGACCTCTCAGCTTTGTGCAGCAGAGCAACACCGACCTCCAGCGGCCACCAAGCTGCTGCTCGTGCAGAGGTGCCCACAGCTAACCCAGGGCCAAGGTGCCAGCCCCCAGAATGTGGCCTGCACTGCTACCATCTCCAAACACCTGGAATTTCCTCAGGGCTGCTCTGTACAAAGCATTCCTAGCAACTTAACACTTAGCCATTCTCATCTCTCATGTTATCTACCTGCTTCTTCCCCACATATGAAGGGCCTATGGTGTGATATCCCCAAATAAGGTCTGTGTTGCTTCAATTCTCATGTTTTTACCTAGACCAATACATGAAAATCAGTGTCACAGAAGAACAGCTTGTTTGCAAGCAGAGCACATACTCAGGCTGGCACAGAGCTGTGTCCAAGCCTTGCAAATCTTAATCTATCAGGAATATCCTGGTCTCACAGGCAACTCAAATGCAATTGAGATAAAGCCTGAGGGAAAGAGTGAATAAGAGACAGGAGAAAACACTCAGAGGAAAAGCCTTCCCTTTGGAGGATATTTACTATGACATTGYTTTTAATTTAGAATAAATTAATTTTATAAACCCTTCTCTTCTGCTCCAGAGCTCTAGGATCCTCTGCCTTGGTTGAATTCTTGGTTGAATGAAGTTTATAGAAAATGTTGACACTTGTAAAAATACAACAGCAAATGCATTTTTGCTGTCTGTTAATAAGTGAATTTCCTATTTTCATACTTCACTGTGCCAAAAAAGAAAAACYGTCAAAATTGGAAAAAAAACCCTCAGATTTAAAGTGAGTGATTCTAACCTCCTGCCCGAACCATTTCAAGTTCATTACAGTAAGACAAAGGCAAAGAGAAGGAATCAGCTGTAACCAACAGCAGAACACAGCAGAGCACATAAAAATAATATTCCAACAACCCCCTTTCACCCCGACAGGTAAGATCTTCCATTCAGACAGAATATATTGCACATTAGCAGAGCAGTAAAAGCAGCCTCCAAGAAGACAAATGACATCATCTCTGAAGTTTCAGAAAGACTATATTTTGTCTTCATTTAAAATTCCCATTAAGAGGAGACTTTTTAAAAGAGCTGCACTATGCTCTTTTGTTTTGAAGAGACAGCATAAATCTTGTTTTCTTCTTTCATACTGCTCATGTCAATCGAGAAAAGGCCTGATGTATGAGGTATTTCTAAAATGGAAAAGAAAAAAATCTTCTTGAAAAGGTGTGAGGCAGCGTGACAGAAATATTTGATTATTTTTTAGAAAGATTTTCATACCAGAAGAATAAGTAAGGTTGTGTGGCACAGATTACAAAACCGAGATGAGGATTTGAAGATTGTAACAAAGATGGTTACATAAAATTGCAAAGCAAGGTCAAAAGCTGGCTTGCCATGCGTGGACAGAGCAGGAAGGGGCCGGGAAACAGGAATGCTTGGGAGCAGAGCAGCCGGATCCATGTAGAACTGCCCCGTCACCCCTTGCGCTACATCATAAAAGGGCCGCATCCAGGCACGGAGAATCTGGGGCTACAGCTTCTCATTCTCTGTATCCCCTAATATCTTACAATCTTGCAGCAAAGAAAGGGCAAAGCCACCTGCTAGACTAAATCAAAACCTGAGAACCTGCAAAGCAATTAAACAAACAAGAAATTGGACTGTAAGATAACCAAGGAACRGGGAAAAAAAAAGGCTCCTATCTAGAATCGCTTCTAAAAATAGAGAAAATCACCTTAAAAGAACTGCCTTTACATCTCTCTAAAGTAGTTAATATAGCCTCAGTAATGTGTTATTTTAAACATTACCAGGCTATCACTATTTTTTTCCCTAAAAAAAACACTTGGTATAATTTATAGAAAGGAAAAATATTTGTGGGAGCTGTCAGTGAAGCTGAATGCCTGCACCGCAGAAACACCTTCTGGGTAGCCAATGAGTTTAAACTGATCTACATTCAAGTGCACACAGCAATTATTCTGCCAGCTTGCCTCAGCAATTATGAGGAAAAGAAACAATTTTCAAAGATAACCAAGGCCGGGAGAAGACCGTGTTCCCTGGCTATATTCCTTTATGTTGGATGCAAAGCAGTCACTTCCAAAATGCCCAAGGATTTAGGTGTACAAAGATAGATGACCAGGAAAATAACAAAAGGACCAAGCGTTAGTCGCAAGTTTGTTCAAAGAGAAACTGCAGTGAATCAGACACAGCAGCTTTTCTTCCCCTCGAGGTCTGCATACAAACACACAGAGTGAAGCAACGTACTCCCTCCTCAAGCCTCAGGGACTGTTAATTTACAACCCTGGTGCACACACGATGAACTTCTGGGTATAAGTGCACTTCTGCATGCACCTGTGGATATAGGTGCAAATCTGCGCTATTCACTATGACTTTACATATTGAATGCATTTCAAGTAACTTGATTTTATGTTCTTCATCCTCCCCCCACTTCACTTCCTTGCAAACAAAAGATGCTACTTAAAAATGTAACGCTTAACACTTGGCCTTCAATTAATATCAAGTCTGTACTTGATATAATCATAAGATTTCAGGCAGCAGCATCAAGCCTTGTATTCAGAGTTGACCTGGCTTATGATTAAAAACACACTCCCTCAAAAAATACTATTCTGTTTCTCAGAAGTATAAACAACTGTATTTTTTATATGCACTGAAAAGATGTTAATGTTTTGTTTTCTCTTTTGAGTGCAAGTCTGGATAAGCCTTCTAATTAAACGTCTTCAAAGTAAAAATATAATGACTGTCAGAAAGATTTCAGAGTTGTTTATGTCACATCAATTTAGCTCCACCTCCAAGATAAGGTGCACGTTCTCCTTTCTTAATTCATTCCAAGAACAAGAGTCAAGCATCTTGGCTACTATTACTTGACCATACACCTAAAATTGGCAACATATCTTGGCAAACAACTCCAAGAAAAACTCTYACAAGGAATAATATCTCTCATTAGTAGCTCATCAGCCAAGATTTTATTCACATTATTGATCCTGTTATGTCCTATCACTGCCATATTTATGCCTAAATATAAGATAAATCTCTTTTGCTGATGCTTTCTTAATAGAGATATCTCTGGGTAAGGATCCCATTAGGACCATTGTATTTTTGACCAGGCTTTTATAAAGGCAGGTATTGAACTATCTGCACATGAAAAAAATAGCGCTATACCATATGAACCTCTAGAAATGGATAAAACTTTTTTTTTTTCCCCTCCCTCCTCTTTCTTAGCAGAACTTTGGGCTAGGATATAAGAAACTGAGCTGGATTCAGRCCTTTACTCCCAAAATCTGGGAGACTGTGTTGCACATCCAGCAAAGCCTAGAAGGTGATAGACCACAGTCTCGAAAGATTGCCCATTTACGCTATCTCTGTACCTGGGATTAGAAAGAAAATATTTTTAGCAGAAGACATCTMCTGCAGACATTCTAAATCCAATTTTCAGATGAAGTTGGATAAATTTCCATGTGCAGATAAGAAAGCATCTTGCTACCCTTATGTACACGATAAGCTTTTTTGAGATTAGAAAGACACAGGAACCATGCACCCACTTTTGTACGACAGCCACAGGATCCAAACTCCATCTGCGAATGCTTAGCCAAACCTGAAAGCCTGTTGAAGCATGCAAAATACCAAACACAATACATTTTTCAACAAATTTGATCTTGCAGGAAGAGTATATATTTTGGTGAACAATACAACACTGACCAATGCCATAATGCAGCCTGCATAATTAAATTTCACATATATAAATATGCATCTTTTCTGTTTTCAATACAAGTCATTTCCAGTTTCATCCCTGAGAAGGTAAAGGCTTACCCGGAACGGCGCTTTCCTCCTCGGGAGGGCATGGATCCTGCCATCCTCACCTGTCCACTTGCCATGGGCGCAACTGGCAAGGCCACCGAGCCTGGAATATCTGAGGCCATTTCTGCAACAAAAAGAAGGGAAGARARGARGGGAAAAAAAAAGTCTTTTAATCCATCTCCAAAAGGACAAACTGTGAGGACAAAAACAGAGAGAGGCCTTTTGCAAAATAAGCAGCATAGAGAAAGTTTTCTTTTTCATTTCTAAGCAAAAGTAAAGCTTCCTATCAAAGACTAGACAGAGCAGCAAATTCACAGCTCTCTTACAAGGCCAAGTTTGTCAATGGCCACTAAACTGTCTTGGGAGGGGATGAGAGTCACAATTCATACATGGGGTAGCTCTGTACTACAGTTTTCCGATCAGATTGTTGAAATTTTGCTTCTTACAAGGTTATCAGATAGATATAGCCTTACAGAGATACTGAGACAAATTAAGTAGTGGTTCAAGTACTTAAAAAAAAAAAAAGAATTTTCACAGCTGGCCAGTGAGGTCTAGAGTTTAGAGCAGGGATGCGTTTTCAGGTGATTTATGTTTTGTGCTATTTGAAAGACTGAACTTTTGAAGTCCCAAGTCCTGCTATATGCTCGTGTTGCACCTTGCAGAACGGAACTGTGTCTGAAATAGAGATTAATATTCATGACTCTGCCAGGGCTCCTAGTATAACCACATGTTGATCAGATTTCCAAACCTTAAACCTTTGATCCTGGGGAACAGCACCTTACTCGACAACTTTCAGACCACTAATTGCAAGTAATTTGACAATTTATTAACAATCTTACTGAGTTCAATACATTGATATCATTTTTTTCCTTTCCCACAGATTAGGTATATTTCTGTCTCTGTGCAACTCTCAAACGACATAACCAATTAAAAGTTTAATGCAGATAAGCCTAGAGGTAAAATCTACAGTCACAACATTTAATTACTTGGAAGAAAATACATCTTCCTTCCAATGTTTATTTTTTAAACCTGACAGAGTCTTTATTTGGAGCTACAAATAAATATATTTACTAGTGAAAAGCAAATCTGTTCAAAAATCTTGTTATTCTTCCCCAACRAATCAGCACAAAACAACTTCAACTATAGAAACAGGACTCCACATTCATTCATTACTTTTGGAGAGCRCTACGTCTCTGCCATACTTTATATAAATCCATTACACAATATTGTGCATTTTACCTAATATATTTTCTTTGTTCACTGATTTCATGAATTTCTTTTAGCACATCTATTTTTAATAACTTTTTCAAATAAGGGCAAGAGAACAAAGTACCATCCAGCGACGTTCAATAAAGTGCTCAAGGACAAACATTGAGAGCTCTGCCTACACCACCACAGGACGGGGCGTCTTGCTGCAGCTCAACCTTCTGCTGTGGGGAAACACTACATTAACCTCCACGAGTGTATTTACAAACAACTAAGAGCAGGTACATCCAAGCAGCTGGTAAATCACTGTTTTCAAAATAAGCTCTCTTAGAATTCTAGTGCCAATACTTCACTTGGAACATTTCAACTCATATTTTATGGATATAACTGAAGGTCATTTTGAAATGCTTTGCTGACTCATTTAAGTATAAACCCTAATAAATCTACCTGCCAAGTGTCCCTGTCACTCAGAAACACATTTCAGTGTTAATCACGAGGGGGAAGAGTCTTTAAAAAGTAATTTTAAAACACTACCAAAGAAACTCAAAGCTGCACTTTAAGAAAATAAAAGTACTAATGTAATTGTGATGAAGAATTCTTGTAGCAGAACAAAGGTATAAAACAAAAATCTATGGATTAAAAAAAAAGGTAAGGAGCAGATTAGTCTCTCTAAATTTTGCAGTCCCTGAGGCAAAAAAAGCCTATTATTCAAGGTAACTTTATAGTTCACTGGCAGGAAAATGCAGGGCATCCTTGCAAAACCACACACTCCATGCTTGGTACATCTCAAATAGGCTGAGGGTACAAAACAGCCTTCAAACATCCTCATAATTGGGAGAATAAAGCCAAGTTCTTAGAGCTGACTGCTTTAAAAGAGTGTCTTCAAAAATTTCCATTTCTAAGATATAAACACAGAAAGAAAAATCAGTATTTCCACACACATTGCTCTATGTGCAATCTCAACTCCTACRAAAGTTTTGGGCCCTTAAAATCAGCACGCTGCCCAGGCTGGGGCACCCTGCAGGTGTGACAGGCCAGTGCACATGTCAGTGCATAAAGCCCCCAAGTTACCTCTCCAGATCCAAGCATGCAGGACACACGCTGCTACCAAAAGCAGTTGGCTTCCCAATATTCTCTCCTACCATAAAAAGAATCATTCTGAGCTCTGAAGATGGAGAAACCAGGAGGACTAGGTCCCTTTCTTCTTATGTGCCACACACAGCGAGGAAACGACAAGGGCAGCAACCAGCTCCTGGCTCCTTCCCTGGGACCATTCGGGACCCCAGCAGCAGCATCGGTGACAGCAGCCAGAGCAGCAGAGAGAAACATCCCCTTTCACACAGGGTGTGTGACAGTGACACCGGAGCGCTGAAGGGGGACCTCGGGGACAGAGCCAGAACGACCCCATCCCTCAGCCACCATCTCCCGGGTGCTGTAGGGCGTATCACTGAAATTGGACTCACAGAAATAAAAGCACTAGATTGGGGCAATAAAACTCTACTCACAAACTGAGCAGCACCCTATTTTCCCCAACGGCTTCGGTCTGAGAAGATGGAACAGATTTGAGCTGCTTCCCAATTTATTTCTATCTCCACTCATTATCAAGTATCTAAAAGAATCAAATCTTTGATGTTATTTTTACCCGTTTGAAAAGGGCTTTTACAGATAGAGCAGGAGGACTAAAAGGTTGGCTGGTCACAAAAGTAGAAATATGTTCTATCCAAAAGCAAGGGCCAGTCTAGGAAGGCAGAGTCTAAAAGATGTAAGGGGAAAGTCGGCTGCTTCTCTGTGCTGAAGAGCCAGAGTAGTAAATATTTATAGACTRGGATCTCGGGTTGAAATGCCATGATAGGTAAGTACTCCAAAGAAYCTAGTACTGTAAGAAAATACACAGYGTGCATCAGATAAACAGACCCAAAGGAAAATATATATGTGTKTATCAGAAGAATAATGTACAGCTGTCTGAAATTATGTTGCGCAAATTTAGGGCAACCCCTTGCAGGCAGATGAAGCTATGCACAAACTGGAATGAAAGCCCAGCACAGCAAAGGCAAGGGCCAAGTTGGTTATAGAAAAAAGACACAGGCTTSCTTGGGCAACAGAGAATTATACGGATTATGTTTCCAGGCCCATTTACACCCACGTGCAGACAGATGTTAACCCTGCTACTCACACAAGTGTTTCRGCAGCAATGTCTATCATGAAACACGCTCTCCTCTTTCTTGGGTTGAGAGGACTGCCCTTTGTCAGGAGATGACAAATGTTCCTTACTTAATATGAAATTAAAACACAGGAATACGAGAGTAAGGATGARAAAATAAGGTCAGGTTGAATGTTCATGAAAGTCATTTAGAACCATGACAGCAGCAATCTGAAAATATCTATTTAAAAGAAGTTCCCTTGTATCAAACAGAAATTGCTTTTATACTAAAAAATATGCACAGTATAAATACTGTAACTTCAAAGTTACAAAGCTACCTAGATACCTACCAAAGAATACAGAAGGGCTCTTAAATAAAATCTAGCAAAACACTAACATTTGCAGCGAGTTCCTGGAAGAATGTCAATGCTCAGTTTAAAAGCAGCAAAATCAGCTCCTACGTTTCTGTCTAGAATTAAATTGACTGCTGAACACTTCAAGCTTTTATACAGTAAAAGGCAATCTGCAAATCCACATTAAATATAGGGCTAACCTCTAATTCCCAGTAAATCACATTTATCTCAATTTTGTTATAAAGGTCAGTATACAACTTAGCTAAAGGGATTACAAAACATTTCTTGAAAGTGCACATGCACTGCAGTAACTGTATTTAAATTGCCATTGCTCCTGGAGGGGTTGTTTTCAGAGGTAAAACTAATGGTCTGAACCCCAATCACAGCAGGAACTACTGGATGGCCCAGCACACAGGGATACGTCTGCACTTCTCTTTCCAGTCAGGTGATGACTGAAGTGCAGCTCTTAAACCCAAACTTCAAATCTCAAGCCCCACTCCAAAAGCCCTGACCAAAACCCAGCTCTAACTCTCCTCTAGCTCCCCTGCTTAGACACCCTTGGGAGAGGTACAGCTCTTCTGCCAGGTATTTCCACAACTCGAATCCTTTAGTATGATGGAGTTTTTTTGCTTTGCTTCTTTAAGCACATTGCAGCTGTACATCCCCTTGCTGCGAAGCTCTGAAACACAAGAAGCCTCCGTGCATGACAAGACTTGTAAGTCCGTCTCACAAAAGGACCTATTAGCCACACTATTTTCAGCCATTCACTCATTCCAAACTATGTTCTTCCCATCAACAYGTGCAAAATATGAACAGAGCCACGTTTATGTATCAAGTCCGYTAAGTTGACAGAAATCCTTTCCCTGGCTTTAATGGAATTTGAATCTCTTTGACATTAATGACCAGTTCCAGATTTTATATTGAATGTCAGGGACTGAGTAYGTTCCTGCCAGGGTTCTTTTATCCTCTAGTATTTACTGTGATAAACTGCATRAGAGTCAGATACCAGTATCTGATTAATCCTAAGAGATTCTAGTTATATAAATACAAACATGACAGAYTTCTAACTGCTAATCCAGAAAACGACCGAGATGTCAGTGCCMTCAAAGCTAAAGAATGAATTGAGAATGTTCCCCCACCTGTGAAGTGAAACCTACACAAACATTTTAAATGCTCTAAGAAACAGATTTCAAGAACTTCTTYTGAAACTGTATTTTTCTACAGCCTGAAACCATACAAGAGTTAAGACGCATCTCGGCAATAAGATTTTGATTGCAGTCAGTTGCAAAGGGGTTTTTCACTGGGACACGTGAGAATAAATTAAATTATATTTCTCACTTTAAAATACACCAATGAAAACATGAAACCATAATATAAGCAAAAATATTCCACAGAAACATGTATGCTGAAACCAACTGCATATTTAGTCATTACTTTTGCATGCTAACTATGGAGACTATAAAACAGAGATCACTTTCAGGAAACATCACAAAAATATTTTTGTTGTGCCGTGATAACTCCATTAATATTGTTATATTTGCATTCCATTGCCAGATACTTTAAATAGACTTCAATAAGAAGGATCTACTGTACAGAGAGGATATASAGAAAAGCAAAACCATTCCTTTTAATACTCTTAATACAATCATCGTAACAAATAAATGAGGAAATGAAATAAAGCCCACCTTAAAAGGAGAGTCTTAAGGAGACGCTATTTCTTCTCTGGGAGCAAAACCTTCTTGGAGAGAAATTTTATCCGCATATAAGAAGTGTCAGAAACCTCTGGGAAGAAACGGAGCAGCATTGGTATTCTGCTCAGAAAATGTCATCACAGATCTGTTTACCTTAACTGTGGACCATGATTCAGCCAGTGACAACCGTCTTGCATACTGATCAATTTATTTGCAGCAAAATTACTAACATTTTCTACATTAACCATTTAGGTTCTGGAAACAGCTACTAAGATAGGGCTTTTACTAATACTATATAAATCCTATCTAATTTAAAAATTTCTCCTCCACCAAAATGTCTTGCACTTTGGCATAGGGGGGCTTCCTGAAGGCAAAAATAGGGCATGCTGTCAGTTATTAGAGACATGCTCCCCTTTCAAAAATAAAAATCAGGGTTTATCAACCTTCTAGCATCACAGGCAAATATTAAGTAGATATGAAAGGGCAGAAATAATGCAATTAAGCTGGCCATTCTGGAGGAGTGCCTAATCAGCAGAATCACTGGGAATTAGGTTAAGGAAGTGGCTCAACTGGTGGTTTAGAGGCCACGTCCAGCCACAGGGGTTCCAATTATCTTACCCCTTGGCAAGAGCAGCTTGCAAAGCTAGAGACCTGGAAACTTCTACAGTGCCTCTCTCTTCTGTTGTGTCCAAAACATGCATTTGCAAGACTCCTAGAAACTCAACACAAACCATATTTTTTTGGGGCAACCTGTAGTTCAACAGCATCAGGGGGATGTACAGGAGAAGGCAGGATACTGAGGTAGCATTAAGAGTGGACCTTGACCAAGCGTGTTCTGGTCTGCTTCAAGGAAATCCTCACTTTAAATGCTCAGCTTGASACAACAGGAGCCAAAGTTCTGCAGGACAGGCAGCCAAGGCTGTCTGAAAACCAGAGTTCTCYGAAGAATCCAGAATGAGGAACACATAATATGACATGCAAAGTGCAGTTCTGAAAAAGTCAGTCTTATGATCTGTAAGACAGAAAATGATTGCATTCAGTTCTCCTGGGTGATTTTAAATGTTACTTTGAAAATATTGCTTATTTTTCCTTCCAGATTTTATGCCATTCACTTTTTTCATCCTAGCTATTTGTGATAATCATATTCATCCAGCTCTATCATGGGATCAAAGGCATGGCAGTTTCCATAGATATCAGGGCATGAGGAAAGGACGTTGCATTCACATTTAGCTGCCTATGCCTTTGCAGCTGGAATGATCAACAGCCCATATATATATATAAATTCAGAATGGCCTTTTGCATGAACCAGAGCAAGGCTCAGCCTCAAACCTCTGTAACGAGTGCAGAGATCACTGAAGATTAGGACACACGTTRCTACCTAAGGCCAAGCTGAGGAAGGTACCTGCTCCCTCCTCCTTCCCTGTCTCCCTGACAAATGGCAGGGCACCAATTCACCTTCAGCTTCTCACTTATTCCCATGTTCTTTTCCCTTGGCATTTTTTCCATTTCTCATTCATAATTTCCTGTTACTTCTCCACAGCATCTTCACTCTGGCTTAGATGAGCTATTTCTTGTACACACTCTAATAAGCCAATACATCCAACCCGGCTGACAAGTCCTGCCAAACTTTGACCCTCCTCCTTAACTACAAAGAGGTTTCTGGAATTCAAAATAAGGAAGAAAGATTTAAAAATGAGGTCTTTATGGCTCCTGTTCTGAAAGGCTGTCTTCGATCTCTGAAAATAATAAACCCCGCCAGAATTAAAACTAGGCTTGTATCTTCTTGCAGAATGAACTTGGAAGACTGTCACCTGAACCTAAGCACCCATGTTGGCCTCTCAGAGCAGTACTGCAAAGCCATACCCAAGTTACCAGTCTCACTGGTACTATATTTTTGCTATACATCACAAAAACACCCTGGTGATTCATTTTATGCTTCTTAATAACATAGTAAAGCGGGACACTTTACAAATATTTTTCATGGAACCGAGGGCAGGAGGCACTGCAGGGCTGCCAGCACCCATCTATTTAAGTTGCCATCCTCACTGCAGAAGTCGGCACTTGACTCAAGTTGAACATCCCTGAGGTTTTCATCCTGTATTACGATGGATCCACGTTTTCAAAGGAAAGCGTTTCTCATGCCAGTGGACTACAGGTGCACCAAAGCCTGGGTAGGAGCAAATTCAGAGACCTGGACTACTAACCCTGTATTAAAAACATAACCTGAGTTCAAACACCTGGTGACAGTGTAGTCACCAGGCAGAGCCACAAGTGGAGAAATGTATAAATAAACTGACCAGAAAAGTAGGCTAGTTCCTTGTGACAGGCCAGTTTGCAGAGAGGATAATACCTGGCTTTGAAAGGCCGTTCCTGGAACTTATGCAGAATTTAGAGAGGCAGATCCTTAGCCTGCAAGAAGTCACAGTGAAACTGCAGTAGCATCATTTGTACTGCTTGAACCTGAGCCTATGTGCTCTTAGGTCATTGCGTACGTAGGCATGCATTGATCAAAAAGGATTCTTCACTTAAATAGCTACTGCCTTCATCTTGCCTAGCTTTATAGGCATTTTTTATTGATATTAGTGACACGTGGCAACAGCACTAATTAAATGATTCTGCATTACAGAAAAAATTAGACTTCCCACACAATGCATCATTTCCATTTAAATTGAATGGTGATCCTCCCTCTTCCTCTGACATTTTGTATTTGCCAAAAATAACTGCATAATTATGAACTTGTGTGCAAGAAACAGAAGGTAACATTCRAAGTTATTTTTCATAATTTTTACTTACTGTGTCAAAACTAGAACATAAAATATRTGGCTGTTCTGCTGGGCAAAAGGGACCCAAGCTAACCCCTTAATGAACTCACAAAAAATGAAGCAGCATACGCCCAGCCTGGGCAAACAAACATGGAGAAGAAAAAATAATGAAGGGGAATGACTTTCCTTCAAGTTTTGCTGAGACAGATCATGCTCAGTCCATTAACTCATCGTTTAACAAGTCTACTTCATTTAGCTTGTTTTGGTTGGCATTCAGTCACGCACTGGACATCTTTTCCCTTTTTAAAACAGAAGGCTTGCTGTATTTTGTGCAGTAAAACACTARGAGGTACAGTGGAAGCTCTCAGAGAAGCTAAAGCTACATTAAGGCCAGGCACTATCATACCAAATAAGATGGTAACACTGAATTAGAGGAAACACCTGCATGTGCTGCTGCCCCAGAAGTTATCGTTAGTTATTAGCTAAAAAGACCCAGTAGGAACCTGACAGTTGCTGCTCAGTAAAAGAAAAAAAAGAAAAAAAAAAAAAAAGGAAATGAAACAGCCAACTGGGTAACTCTGAACTTGTTCCAAAAATTCAAGAGCAAGTAGATGGAAAAAAATAAAACAAAAAAGCAAAACACCCATTGCACATAGTTTTACTGTGATTCATGTTATGGCCAATGTCTGTTGCAGCTTCCTCCCCATTGCTGACCTTGCTAAGACTGGATTTTTGTCTCCAAAGAAAAAACCTTCTCATTCAACCACTTCTTATTTCCCGTCTCGATCAGTGTGATGCCCTTTACTGGCATTCTGTGCAACTACATGATGAAACAGAACTAAATCTGGATTTTTTTTTTCCCCGTTGCATTGCCAGGGAACCATCAGAACCATCCCTAGCTCCCCTGCTTCTCAGCAGCAAAACAAAACTGTTGGGAAACTTTGGGCTGGCCCAGGGGAGCCGCTCTTAGGCTCATAAAGGATGAGCATGACAAAACCCTTCTCAAGTTTGCTTCTTCCACACAGGTAAGAATACAAGATTTTATTCCCTACTAGACCAAGACAGAAGTGGTACCTTCTGAGTAATGGGTCTAATACATCAGAGCACTGGTTGGCTACCCAGAGGAATCATTTCCAGGGTCATTTCACTGATCCAGGTTATGGAGGGGGACTTCTAAGAAAGCTCATGAAAGTGCTGAACAATATTTTTGAGGAAGGCATGACAACCAAACCACCTACATAGATCATGGCTCTTGAGCTCATCTAAGCCCCTTGTGATATGCCTGCACGTACAGAGATACCCAGCCCGTGTTATTTATTTCAAAGATTTTTTTAAACTGTGCTTCAGAAGAGTATGCTAATTTAAAATTTAATTCAGAACAACAACCTGTATTACCAAATACTTAATTATCAGTATATTTGCAGTGTCCTTGGGCACTGCTGGGTAATCAGAGCTCTCTTGTTTTCATTAAACAATATTTTATTGATAGCACTGAGGACTTCAGTTCTGCTTGATCAACAAGCAAGTGATGTTTATTTTATGCTATGATAATTAACTGGCTTTTCAGGTGTTTCTACCTCCCAGTCTATCACCAAGAATAAGAATATATACATGAAGCATCCTGAAAATAAATTACTATGCAGTTATCACCAGATAATCCAAAAATAAAGTGTGGTTCCTCATTTCTTCCTTTCCTCAAAGTTTTTAAATCTGTGTTCTCTGTCTAAAATTGAGGGAGGGACAGTTCCTTTTACATCTCATCGAGCTTCCAGATTTGTAACCTCATTTTTCTATAAGAGAGATAAGGATCAAAAACCCCATATGGCCTAATAGCGATATACAAACGAATCGACTGGCTAAGCCATTACTTTTAACCATATTTTTCTRAACTCCTGGTGCAGTTTATGAAGCACCACGGCCTTTCTCTCAGATCACAGAAAAAGACCAAGAAAATCAGAGGCTCAAATCTGGCTGGACTGCAGCAGGACACCCTCCCGCAACCTGAGACACCAGGGTACGTTCAATCTCACTCCGCAGAGGCAGCCCTAGGAACCTGTCCAGATGTCTTGCCTGCTTCAACACACCAATCCCTACTGGGGACTATCCTCATCTTTGAGGAAGAGCTCCTCCCAAGTTGGAATTTTCTCTAAGACAAAAAAAAAAAAAAAAGAAGGACTTAATGTTTTTTCTCCCCTCCGCTGCCCCAGAATCATTAACCCCGCTGGTAGGAACATTCTTTCCCTTGCCTACTTTCAAGCTCTGCATCTTTCAGGTCTGCAAACAACAATGGCCAATAAATACCTGCAGGTGTCTGGA